ATTGCTTGTAATCTATTTAATCAAAATTTCAGAAGATAACTGCACAGGACTCAAATTTTTATTTTCTAAGAAATCTTTATTTAACACTCTATATGTTTATGAACGATTCTATGTCATGTACAACAAATATCTCAGAATGCATTATTTTGACAATAAAGTTGACTTGTATCTTGTATCTTGTATTCTAGTGTATGCGTTAACCTACTCTGTATTCGCTGCTACTGGAGCAGTAAATTGTCATTTTACAGTCATTATGAAATGTCCATTGTCCATTTACCGCATACGTTACATCGTACATCTACGGTCACTCTTAAAATAAAATCTCCAGATAATTTTTCTCTATCACTGCCCCACAACAATGATTAACTGATCTAATCTACATGATTTATGAAAAAATAATTAAATGTACAATTGAATCGAAATATTCAATTGATTAATACACCACATACAGATATATCCTGAAGGCCTAGAAACATTATCAATGTTGATATGACAAATACATGTGGTTGACATCATGATGCCAATATCCATTGTAGAGTAATGTTATCATCATGCCCATGTACGTACAATTGACATTGCCACAGAGAAAATGATATTGTGGAGAGCTTAATACAAGTGGTCTACTAAATATTCTTGTAATCTTAACTACTGTAGGCTTACTTTTACTAGGTGTGACTGTGTGTTTTAACCATACACATATGATATAGTATAAAAGTAAATACCGTGCACTATATATTCATACTCAGGGGCGGATTTAGTGGGGGCGCGCCGTCTCCGCCCCTCTTTTTGAAAAATAAAAAAGAATGAGAAAAGAAAGAAAAAAAATGAACTATTGATCACCCAAGCCGCCTCCGAGGTAATTTTTGGGCGTCTAGAAAAAAAAGATTTCCCGGACCCCTAGTGTAGTGTTATATCTCGATTTCCCACACCCCCCCCCCACCCTTTGACATCTCTGGGTCCACTCCTGACACTTAAGTTTAAGTTTTAAACCAGTTAATTTGCATTATTAACATAATCTATATCTAACATTTTAGTATGTAATTTAGTCTTTGTATAACAATTCATATACACAGTTGCCACTAAGGTATATTTAAAGTCACTTTTTGCGTATCATTGTTGTAAAGAAAGACTAATTTTCTAGACTCATTCTAATGTTATTCAAAATATTTTCGAAAAAGCATTTGGACAATTACCTTTTCTTTTTTTAAGATTCTAATTCATAATTTCAAGTACAAGACCAAACCTTTAGAAAAATTATACAGAGTGAACATTGTTTCAGATCATTACACAATTTCAGAATATTAATGACTAGTATATGATCATTGAGTCTGAGTCTCGTTATCATAACTGTACGATCATCTTTAGGCAAATTTCTTGAATTTATTAAACATGAGCGGTCCCAATTACGTAGCTGGAATCATTAGGAGACATGTCCGATTTTAAAACAAATGGTACTATTTTGCACCATGAATGACAATATTTTTGATTGTAATAAATATAGATAGAAAACATACTTTCACTTCTGAAAATGTTACAATGAAGTAGAAATGGTAGAAATTGATGTTCTTGCTGGTGTCTGGACACGATTTCTTTTATTCACAGTGCCAGAAGAAACGCCAAACAATTGCAGAAATCCCTTTCTGTATGTGTCATTTGAAATATTGTATATGATGGGATTAACAGAGGTGTTAACAAAAGCCAAATATCTAAACACATTAGCAAACGATGTTATAACATCGTAGTTAGCATTAGGGATTATATAGCCATATATCCAAAGCATGTTGTTCGGAGCCGTAAGGACAATGTAAACAACTACAGTCACTATGACAGTTTTTAACGCTTTCCGCTCATAGTTGGTTCGATTACTTGCAGAAGAGATCTCTTGCTTTTTCTTAGAAAGAGGTTGATACAGAGACAAAATCATCACAAGGTAGAGAGGAATCATTAACATAAGATATACTAAGTAAAGTGCAACTTCTGCTGTAACCAAATCTACAATAATACTGCATACACTAACATTAAATTCGGCAACGCTACAGTAAACGCATACCGACGATGTGCTTGGAACACCGTTCCACATATCTGGCCATGAAAATGCTATTTCCACTTTACCTATTGTCACTGTATTTCGAACTTGACATATCAGAGAAATGATCCATATAGCGCAGCATACTTTTATTGTGCGCTTTTTAGACACATACGAGCGATATTTCAGAGGTTTTGTAATTGCTAAAAAGCGTTCGACACTAATGGCTAAAACGATATTCGCAGAAACCATGTATGTCCAGTCAACAACTAATGCATTGAATTTACAATAACCTACAGAAACACCCCGATTGTCATAGAAAATATGAAATGGACTTTGAGTGAGAGTAAACCACATATATGTCGAGGCTACGACTAGAAATAGGCTATCAGAAATCGCAAGATTTACTAGATAGATATTTAGTGGGTTGCCCATGCGCGTTTTGGTAGTAAGAACAATGATAGTAGATGCATTACCAATGAGTCCGGTGAGGACAACAATTGGAAGAAAAATATACATTAAATATATTTCTGCGTCAGTATACAAAAATGGCTTTATAACTGCATCCCAGTCTTTCTCTTCTTCCAATAAACTACTGTTGTTGTTTGCCATTGTTAACACCCTGAAATTAACAAAATGTAAAAACAAGTCAAAATCTGATCCTGTAGAATGATATTACATATATAATTATCTGGTAGGCTATTATTTCATATAATTTGTAGTAATAACATTATTTTTTATTAACACAACAAGATCAATGAATGAATAGCTCACAAACTATGATATACTGTTTTTTGTTTGTTTTTTTGTTGTTTTTTTTTTATGATCATCATGTTTATTAAACACGAGATCCAAAAATTATGTTAATTGAATGTGATGTGACGTTGTGCCACGCCCGGAATATACAGCTTAAGTTTACAATCCACCTATGTACCTATGACCAATGTACAGATAATTAGTTAAAATTACAGAAATAGTAAAATATTACATGTATATCTGTAAATTACTGATTGTCTGTATATTTTAAAGGCTTGGTCTGTAACTTTACATCATTTTCTTTAATTATATGCATAAATGCCTGTGAAATTCATCAGTAAATTTACAAACAAACTGTAATTTTAAAGGAACTTCTGTGAAATTTACAGAAACATCTGCGCATACAGAACTCTCTGGAATCTCTGCTTTACATATTTTCTTTTTTTTTGTAAAATTACTGGTTTTTCTTTGTACAGTGTATAAATGGTTGAATGGACACGTTTAATTTGATCACCAAGACCAATAAATGTCTCAGGACAGTCCGTCTGTCAGGCTAGGCCAAGCACACACCTCAGATGCACACTATCAAATCACTATCAAAATATTGTACGTAGTGCTAGACGTTTCTTTTGGCTATGAGTATGAATACAATTAAGAATAATTTCAGCTATAACAGGCCGCCTACTAACCGTACCACTAATGCATCGTAAAAATTTCTCTTAATATTATGCCCAAGCTTTACCATCGATATCTTTCATGCCTGTTGATGTCCACTGTACTAATGTCTCGGGCGTGATATTGAAGCATTTCTAGTGATTTGGTAAAAGGAATTCCACGTTAAAATATAGAAACAGAAAGTATGGTGTCTTTTACAGAAATTCAGAAACAACAGTTGCTGAGCTGCCATCTTTACAGTGTATTAACTTGAGCGTTCAAACAATAACAAACCTCCGACTGATTTAACGATCAGTCGGAGGTAAAAAAGGAATCTCGCCCCCGTCCAATTCACGTTCGGCATTTAAAATGGGATGATAGGCGGAATATAATAAAAGCGGATAAAAAAATCTGAAGGATGCTCCCTTTAAAGGAAAAAAAGAGTTGTATATATCAGATGATATAAGCTATAAAGTCAGAGAATAGGAGACGGCTCAAAGAAAGGTGTATAAAATGAAAGAAAATGATCCGCATTGACCATGTGTATGTGGCTTTTACGGTTCCAGTGATTATCAAATTGCGGTTGCTTTGCTAGACTGTTCGAAGTATCGCGGGTTATTTTTTCCCGATCGAGTATTTAATTTATTTAAGAACTCTTTGTTGAAATGTTGTTTGTTTCTTTATTTTTCTATATTTTTCTTGTTTTTTTGCTTTTTTATTTATTTATTTTTTTTTTTATAAAAGTCACTTTAACGGCCAGCTTATTGGAATGTACTATGAATGGTTAAATTTAATATTGCCTCTCTTAATGTGAGGGATCTATTTTTTTGGCTTAAGCAAAGTTACCATTAAATTATTTGTTTGCAGGACACCCACTTTACTAAAGAACAAGAGCAATCATGACAATATCAATGGGGATATACCTCTGTATTTAAATCTTTTAGTAACAATAGCAGAGGTGATTCTCTTGTTTCAAAATAACTTTGAGTTTAAAGTACATGTGTATAAGCTTTGTGATGAAGTTGGAAATTATTTAGCTATCCATTTGTCAGTGGGAGATATTGAATTTGTACTTATAAATAATTATGGTCCAAATCGGGATGATCCTAAATTTTACGATAGATTAGAAAAAAATATTGAAGAGGTCAAAAACCAGTTGGGTTCAGTGATCTTATGTTTGGATTGGAATGTAGTTATAGAGGCTAATCAATCCATTGCAAATATCATGCAAATTCATGATTTGCATGATATTTGGCGCGAAACCCACCCAACACAAAACGTTATACGTGGCGTTAACCAACACTTTTGAAGCAAGCGAGATTGGTTATTTTTTAGTTTCACCAGATATTTTGTAAATTGTTAAAAATAGTGATATAAGTCATGGTTATCGGACAGAATATTCGTTTGTATTTATTGAAATTGAAAGTGATAATTTGGAGCGTGACAGAGGGTTTTGGAAGTTTAATAACTCTTTATTAAAAGATAAAATATATATAAAAAAGGTAAAAGATTGTGTAAAAGAAGTAAATGTCCGGTGATCACCAAAAAAGCTTTTAAAATCAAAATTTGGGGTATCACAATCCCATATTCGGCAGATAAAGAGGATGTCACAAAAATAAGAAAAGGAAATTGTAAAACAAATTGAAATATTAGAAAATAAATTGGCAAACTTTTCAAAATGATGATGATGTGTCCAACTTAAGTATTCTGAATAATGATTTACAGTTGATTAGAGAACTTGCAGTTGCAGGAGCCAGAAAAATAGTAACGGATTTTTCCTAAATTTGGAAAAGCAACATTACATAAATAAAAATATAGTTAAATTAAATACAGATTATGGAGAATTGACTAACCATAAAGACATACCAGAAGAACTACACCATTTTTACAAGATATTATATACGCCTAAACAAAAAGTATATAGGCAGAATAAACTATATTTCTTTTCTACACACATTCCTAAATTAGGGGACGAAAAAGAGACGAAATGTGAAGGGGATTTAACAGATATCAATTTCCAATTCAATTTAATTCAATTAACATTTATTCAATTAATTAATAAATACATCAAATGATAAATAAAGTGGACAACATTAAAATTAATTAATTAGGATAAAAAATAGAAGCGAAGCTTGTCTCAATTTGACCCCGACAAAAAAAAAGTAAAAACTAATAATAAACGCCTATCAGGTAGACCTACATTTTATATACAAATATATATACATATATATATATATATATATATATATATACATACATACATACCGGTACATATATGCACATACACACACATACATACACACACATACCGGTACACCCCCATACATACATGTAAATACACACACACGCGAACACACACACATATACGTACACACATACATATATGCACACACACACATACACACAAACCAACATATACACACTTATACACACATATATATACATACAATCTAAATCATCAAAGGTACATATGCAGTGTTTAGATAAGGACATGATGGAACATCGTATTCTACCCTGTAGCTATTTAACAAATGTCCATGTATATATGTTTGAATATCATACATAATATATATATATACATATATAAAATAAAATATTTAAATAAAGTTAAGATTGGTACATTTCTAAATAATATTTCTTCATCTGCTTTCTAAAAGTGTGGGTAATTTTTTAACTTAACATGAGTATCATTCAATAATTTTGGTCCGTATACAGAAATAAAAAATTGGCTTTTGGTTAGTCTTACAAAAGGAACGTAAAGTGAGTTTGAATTTTTTAAGCAATAACTGTGTATATGTTTATAATCACGAAATAAAGCTAATATAGAGGGTTGGGAGTTGGCCTTTTATGTATTGAAACATAAAACACGCAACTTGTAGTTTGTTTAGATCCATAATTTTTAATATATTCAGTTTTTTAAACAGAGGTTCCGAAGACGATGCAAATGAAGCTAAATAAATTATTCTGACAACACGTTTTTGTAGCTTAAGTAATCTATCCAGGTTTGAAGAATAGTCACAGGCCCATATTAAGTTACAATACTGCAAATAAGGGAGAATAAGAGTATTGTATAAAGTAATTAAAGTGTTGCGTGGAAAGAATAACTTAAGCATGTTTATTATGCCTATTGATTTTGATATTTTGCTTGCAACATAATTTTGGTGTAATTTCCAACTTAGAGTTTCATCGATGAATACTCCTAGAAACGAAGTATTTGATTTACGTTCTATAGGATTTTCATTTAAAATAATGCTAAAGTTTGAAAAATTTACTTTCTTATGGTGTGAATGAAATAAAATATAGTTAGTCTTTTGAATTTTAATTAGGAGCTTATTTGCATTGAACCAGGTACCAATTTTTTTAACTCATTATTAAACGTATTGAACAAAACATTGAGGTCTTCATTAGAATAATGAAGACGAAGGACACCAACTGGAGGGTGTCACTAATTCTACACAAGTCATTAACATATATTATGAAAAGTAACGGCCCCAAGACCGACCCTTGTGGCACCCCACAAGTTACATCCCTCGTCGATGATTTACATGATCCAACAGAAACAAATTGTTTACGATTATTTAAATAACTTATAAACCATTTTAAAGCAATACCTCTAATACCATATCTAAAAAGTTTTGAAATTAAAATTTCGTGGTTAACAACATCAAAAGCTTTTGATAAATCTAAGAATAAACTTAACAGAAATCGTTTATTTTCAAATGATTTAGTAATGTTATTAACGAGTTCAAGTATTGCATGACAGGTTGAGTGATTCTGACGAAATCCATATTGATGGTCATTTAAGATGTTAAATTGATTTAAATAATTAAATAGTTTTTTATGCATAAGTTTTTCAACTATTTTTGAAAAGATAGGTAGAATTGATATTGGTCTATAATTTGATAATGTATCAGTGTCGCCATTCTTAAATACGGGAATGACCATTTTTAAAGTATTTGGAACTGTACCAGATGAAAAAGATGAGTTAATGGCGAATGTTAGTTGATTTGAGATACACATTTTAGGGTCCTAGGAGATAAGTGGTCATAGCCAGCACCTTTATTAGTATCTATATCATGAATTACTGCAAATACTTCAGATTCAGTGACAGGTTTAATAAAAAATGAATTAGTAGGCGACATTGGTAGGAACTGTAAAGGATCAATATCAGAATCTGGTAAAGATTTGTTTATATCTGGGCCAATGGAGGAA